AGTGTGCAGTAGGATTGTGTGTAGTATGTGTGCAGCAGCGTCTTGACTGCCACCGCTGTTTCAAATGAGGGACGCAGCAAGGAACGGGGGATATTCTTCGCTTCTTTTTTGTATTAAAGGTCACGGACACTGCGATACGGTCTTCATGATTATTTGCTGAGACCATGACCATAAGTGACTCGTTGAGGTTCATAAATTGAGAACTCGTTCACCCGTCACGGCCTCGGCGGAGAAGTAAACACGCCGGCATTTTTACGATGTTTCAGCCGGGTCATATCTTAACCTTTATACAGCCGCAATTTTTGTTGTTCGTTTGATTGCTTGTTTGTTCCGCAGATGTGTATATTGTTACTTCGAGTGTCGTTCTTATTTCATTTCTGCGCGTGGCCGTTCTGTCCGTCGCCTTTAGAAATATTGAATAACAGGCGCGTAAATCAGAAACAATCACGTCTTCTTATTTGTTTGTTTCTTTTCTTTCTTTCCAGGAGCGACAGTGACTTTATCGATGGTTTAAGTACGTACGACTTCGAGTGTTCGCCCGCCCATGCGAATCGAGTGCTTGTGGCTACGGACCTCGTAAGTCCACCCTCCTCGCCATATTCCTTGGCGTTATTGCTTTCTATGGTGGTATATTAAACACAAATGCAAACTCCACGAAGTAATATGGGGCAGTTTTGTGAGTTGCAGTTTCAGAATTTTGCGAAGGGCAAGTCGTCTGTTTCTTGCGGAGGAGTTGCGGTGCCATCAGAACGACGCCGAGCTCTGACTGGCTTTGATTGAAAGGATGGTGGGTAGACCTCAATGATAGATACCTTGAGGACTACCCATTATCTTTTTTTATTTTTTTTTTTATTTTCAATTAGCCAATAAGAGCTCGGCGTTCTGACATCATCGATATATATATATATATATATATATATATATATATATATATTGTTAACGTATTGGACAAAGAAGGACAGTTTTTTTGTTTTTTTGTTTTTGTTTTCTGGAAATGCTTATGGGGATGTAGTCCACGTCGGAGAACATCCGAGGCATAAAGTGCATTATATTAAGTAGACTTCAAAAATGAACTCATCCACAGACGTGACATCGAGAGTAAACGATCCGCGACTCAGTTTCGAAAGGGCCGGGGTTATCACTCAGATATTACGCGGATGGGCTTCTTTTGGAGGTTACAATTGAAAACGAGCGTGTTGGTTATGCACAGCAACAGATTTACGAAAGAAATCATTGAATCATTTGCCATGGGAACTGTAAACAGCGTTTCTGCACCCTCATTATCACTGACAAAGAAAAAGGTCGAATTCCTAACACCAGAGATGAATAGATTACTGACTCTTTGTCGGGACGCTAGAGCTTTTTAAACTTTTATATTTATAGTACATTTCCCTTTGGGACTGTAAACAACAATATTTCTGCACCTTCATTATCTTTGACAATGACAGGTCGAATTCTAAGTAATCGGAGATAACTAGATTAGCGATACCTCGTCGTGACGCCGGCGCTTTTTAAACGTTTATATTTACAGTAAATTACCTTTCCTTTATAACAATTATCTTCTTTTCCTTTTTGAGAACGTTGAAACCTTTGGGGGGCGGTTTTATCTTTGTGCCATTCTATGTTGTTGCTAAATGAAAGATATCCTGTTCCCGTCCTCGTCCTCGCTGTTTTATACTTTCAAGTTTTGTTCCTTCTGGAGCTACGGCAAAAATAAAACAGAGGAGCGATGACGGAAAATAGCGGACGATCTCTTTTGATCATGGAGGAAGCACTCCAAGAAACAATAATATTAACGACTGCGAAGTTTTTCTCTCTTTTTTTTTTTTATCATTGACGACGCGGTGTTTTCGGCTCCACTTGCTCACCTTTCTTTTGGGCTTTATATTGGGATCAAATTTACTTACTCCTTTCAGTTAGGCGTCAAAAACATGTTTTTATTAATCAGCGCGCGATCAATTAGTCTTAGTCCAGGTGTCATATACATTCCCCGCAACGTAATTTCCGCCGACTACGTTCTGCGGCAATTTAGAATCCGCTTCCGCATGGTGTAGGGAACTTTCTCAACACTGATATGTAACTAATTACGTTCGCTTTGGTGGGAATATAATTAGAAAATCACAAAGAGAACTTCCAAACCGCTATAGACATTTTCTTGGGGAACGAGAAGTGTGTGTGTGTGTGTCTGAGAGGGGGGGGGGGGGGTTGTTTTGATTGATTATGTACATGAAATATTCAAAGCCTTCACCATATACGCACACTCCGTAAAGAAACAAAAATCACTTCTACATCATCTACTGCGTTCGAGCATCTTCAGCCTTGTACGTAATAATATGGAGTTCACTCCAACGCCGAGGACGAGGATGCTGCCGAAGAAGCTCCTGTTTACGCTCGCACTCAACAGGTATACCCTCTTAGGACCGGCTGCAAGCCGGTCGTAAGTCGTTACAGACTGCTTACGTGTAGGAATGCGAAAGCAGTTCTACACGCAGCGTGTTCCTACAAGCAGCGCGCCACGTCTTCCTTTCGCACACGGCCCCCCGGCGTCCCCCTCCCTCCCGCTGCGCCGCCAGCAGTTCGTCTGGCCCCTTAGCAACGGTGACGCCGTTGCTATGGGAGGACATGCGCTCCGGCGGTGACAGCACGCTCCTCCACCGCGCAGGCCCGGCGAACCCCGCCGACTCCACGGCTTCCGTGACGATGAATCTGCGCTGCTGTGCTTTTCTTTGTGTTTTATTTCTAAGACGCGTCCGCTTCGACCTTCAGCGGCCCCGCCGGCTACTGTGACGAAGCATCTGATATGACGCGTTGTAGCCAATGGGAATTTATTGCTCGTTTAGCTGCTACAGACAACGCCTAGTCATTGGGAATTTAGTTGCCGTTCTAGTCGACTTCACCGGCTTCGCTCCATGAGGCAGTTAATGCTTTCGCATTAAAACTGATCTTGTGTCAGTCGGTTGTAGTCAAACACAAGAGTGTGAACGAGCCTTTATGTGGCCGACCTCTCTCCTCGGCTTGAACCTCTGTCCTGTTTGGCCTTTCAGGGGTGCGTGCTTCATTGCGATCTTTACGGAGGCAAGACATCTCCGAAGATGTACCGCTCAAGGGACGATAGTAAGCTTCTTCTTTTTATCATTTTTTTATAACTTACGTTTTGGTTATACCGCGTGTTCGCACAACGTTCCCGTGCTCTACATTTTGCTGAATTAATCCCCCTGTCTGCTCTTTTACAATTTTCAGACACGCAAACAGATGCCAAATGCCTATCTTGTTCTCCGCACCGCATCCCATTTTTTCTCGTAAGTCGATGACTTATTTTTACATTTATATTGGATCAGAGGTCTTCAAACTGTTTAGTTACGAGGAACGCCGCTTCGAACATCCCGGTGTCTTGTTTTGAGAACAAAGAGTGCATATCGGGGCAGATAGGTTATGTACAGTCATATATACCATATGGTTATTTGGTTTGTTGTGATGTTTCAATAAATAACTCAGTTTTTTTTAAGATATTTGAAGACCCCCGAAGCTGCAACACTAGAGTAATTTATATCTATATACTATAAACATATACTATGTTGTGAAACATACTTTGTTTGCAAGAACACTCCTACCAGAAAGCGCGTTTTCGTGGTGCCAGCCGCTCGCGCCGTTTCTCCCGACGCTGCACAAGTAAGAATAATTTGTGTCTCTCGAATACATGACTCGCACTGTGCGCGAACCTTCTTCAACGTGTATTTTTCACCACCGGATTTGATTTTCTCAGCGAGAACAAATCTCAGTGGCCACCAGCATATAGTGCGGTGACGTCACGTGCAAACCATGTTAAAGGGGCGATGCAACAATTTTCGTACTTTGAGCAAATACCGCTTAAAACGAATCCCTGACGTTAATGACCTACGAAACGCGCGTTCCAGAAGAAAACTAAAGAAAAACGAGCACCGTTCACCCCCTCAACTCGCAGCCAGAACAAGCGGCCACGTGATCTGGAGCCGATTATATGCCGCCAATGTTGATCATAGTCATGCGCTGGGGTTGGCAAAGCACAGGGCATGCGCTGGGTTCCAGACATTGTTATGGCTCGGCATTTGTCGTCGTCGCAGCGACTGGACACGGGCCACTACCCAAATGCATGTCGAGGTATCGATTGTCACGAGCCCAGATCGAATGCGTACGCAGTCTTCGCGTCCACTGTGTGAGCAGCATTTGAATATCGTCACCACAAATCTCCATGACGCATTCCCGCGAATCGTACTGTTGACGAGACTGAAAGACGAGACTGAAAGAAAAGCTCCGCTTTCATCCTTTGAATTCCGCCGCGACGAAGATTCTTCTTGGTCAGTGGTGTTGCGTGCGAGCATTCTTGGGTCCCACTAGTGCCAGGAAGCTGGTGTAAAGTAAGAAATATTCCTACCCAAAGTCGTTGCACAGCCCCAGTTCAGTTTTCTGGTTAAATGCGATGTTCTCAGCACTAGCAGAAGAGTGTTCAAATTGTAAAGCTGTTCAGTATGCGGCAGCCTAATAAAATGTTTGAGCGCGCATGACTGATAAAGCATAGTTGTAAAGTGAGGGCTTCAAGCAAGGGCACGTAAAACCGAATATAACATTAGCCTCCCGAGATAGTATTTTGCAAAATTTCGAGCTCGTGCATGCCGATGTTCAAATTGTGATTTATATTAGAAATATATTTTCTGTCCTTAGCGCAATTTATGTCTAGCTAGGAATATCATTGCATGCATATCTATGTATTTCTTTTTGCAGTAAGGATTATTGGATTATTTAGAAGAATAACATTTATTATCTTTCTTTTTGTATATTTCGTGAATATACTTTCAGATTTATTATGTGAGCACACAGCCTTTTTTTGGCATTCCCTGCGACCCGGTGTTTCACACTGCCAATCAGTGAACAAAAAGGCATGTTTTCGCAGACTCAACAGCTGGCGTATTTTCGAGTATCGTCCTCCCGTGTCGGTCTCCAAACGTTAATATGAATTTCGTACAGTCAAATGTATTGATGAAATAAAAATATATTTATAACTGACTGAATCTTTGACAACGTAGATAAAGGGCCGATTACCTGAACATCATCAGTAGTAGCACCCCCAAAATATCTTAAATATGCTGTGCAAATCTTTTCCGGTGTTTTTACTCTTGATTTGAGAGAGCCTTAAACAAATGTCTGATTTTTAAGCTGATTTAAATAACTATGTTCTCCTAACACATATTTAACTCCTGAAACATGTATCAGTCTGTTGTTGCATTCCTCTTTTATGTGATGAACAACAATTATATATGTCCGTGCGCTAGACAAACACAAAGTACGCAGGGGCGCGTGGTGGAAGTACGACGAGTGCGTACGCAGACCGTCAGAAAGTGAACAATGAAGTAGCTACAATGTGAAGTACGTCCATTTTAACAAAAAAAAAATCATCAATTAATAAAAATTGTTCTAATTTTCAAATTGAATTGAGCGGCATCTCGTCAAGGAGAAATCTCAAACGTCAAGTTATGACCAAAAGTTTCACTTAGGTAGGCGCTATTTTAGGCCAGATTCGATCTGAGTACGAAGGTGCGTATAGATTAGAGTGAGCAATTTCGATCACTCTTTCCGGCGTGATTATTCGTCTGCATCACGGTGCTGAGTGTAAATAATGTTGGTCAGAAAAACGAGCGTTGTGATTGCCGCTCAGTGTTTTTATATAAAAGGTAGACTGAAGGGGCTTGCCCTAAAACTTCCGTGACATTTTGGAAATAATGCTTTTAGCTGAGTTGCGTCGCCATCATGTATGCTGTGAAACGGATTTCGTAAACTTGATTTCACAATATATATACCATTCACGGCCATTTTAGGGGACCTACCAAACTGATAACATTTCGATTTAGGTAAAATAGAATTAGGTAAACGAATAGATGTTGAGTTGTATGAGCACGACGTTCTGTATGTTAATTTAGCTTTGCGCTCACTGTTTCGCACAAATAAAAAAAAATCTTATTTTTGGCATTTGGAAATACAAGTGGATTGTACAAATGATAAAAAGCTATATTGGCGACGTGAGCGATCGAAAGCGTCGCGGTGGTCGGCCTTTCACGATTGGCCGAATGCTCACTATGACGTCAGCAAAGGAGTTGTCATGGACGGAAATAAGAGGAACGTGAGCACTTTATCTTTGACGGTGTTGACAGTGTTGGTTCAAGAGCGCTATGATTTCAAGCTTTCGCCATGCTAATTACAAACACCATTGACCTTGGCTGTGTTCCAAATCTTACCAAAATGGATCCGAGTTACTCGGGCGGATCGTATCACGTGACTGTAGAGATTGTAAAACGCTGGACGCGGGTAGGTTTTAGAACGCCAAGGGTACAAAACCTTTACCCTGGAGTGAGATCGAGTAAATTTTGGAACACGGCCCTTGTTGTTCGCAAGGTAATGGCGTCACGAAAGGTAACCATACGAGAGCACCACCAAAATATCTCGCCGCTAATACTCATTGTTCGTTTCACGGTTGAAATAGTGCCCAGTGTCAAAACAAAATATGATAAATTTAGTGGTTCAAACCAGTTCGAACCGTTATTTTTGCTCCCCGGAACAGAACCGAAACTGAACCGAAAGCCGTGAACCCGAACGCGAACCCGAACCGAACCGAACCGAACCGAACCGAACCGAACCGAACCGAACCGAACCGAACCGAACCGAACCGAACCGAACCGAACCTATAAAAATTCGGTTTGACACTTTGCCAGTTGTGCGGTATACGTGGAACACGGTAACGGTTTGCCAAAAGTCGCTAATGAAGTACTCGGATAACTGGCGCAGCAGCTACTAAATGGAGCCCACTTCTGAACGGGCTGTATTGAGATGAGGAATAGAAATACGTGCAACTTTTGGATGAGTAAAGATTAGGCTCGCTAATAGACATTCGCCATTGTGCGCCCTTCCCAGATATCTCGACTTGAGTTTCCTCCTTCTTGCGTGTGTTCCTTCGTGTTTTATCGAGTAAAACGTTTCCAGCCCTCTCGTATATATGAGCAGCATTGCAGATGACCACTACGGTCACAAAAAGTATGACTACGAATTTATTAGCTTAACTGATTTGCCAGTAATTGTTCATCTTTCCAGCAAAAGAAACAAAATACCGGAGGCTGAATAACCTGCGAGAAGTAATTGGCGCTGTCGTTCTGTATGCTCCCCACTCTCAGCAGTTTATTTTCTTAAACCAAATATTTACAGTTCTTACTTAAAGGTATATGCGGGTTGTCTCAACATACCACTGTGCTACGCATTTTTTCTCTCTCTCTCTCTTGGACCACAGGTTGGAACCGGGGCGGGAATATTGAGGCTACATTCCATAAAGTCGGGTAAGTCTCTCAAAGAAAACAATTTTTGTTTTGTAGATAATCAAAACAAAGGGCACCAACATGAAACAAATTTGTATTTAGGTTCAAGCAAAATGTTTGTAAGACAGTTTGTACCTGTCGTTTCTTCCCGCGGTATAGTATCAAGGAGCACGCATCGAGGCTTAGTATAAATCCGCTAGCTGGCGTCTGACATAAGCCGTATAGACGCTTTGCAGCAGCTGTGCATGGACGCCGCCATAACTGACCTTCAGTTTTTCTTCCCCCTTATTACGTTTACTTCACTTCATAATTACCATAGCAGGGCAGGTTATTGACACCTTAGATTTTATTCTGCCTTGCTCCCCAGCATTGGCCTTTTGTGGAGGCTCGTCCACACCAATTTCAGTGGCTCGGTATCTCAGTAAAACAAGAGAAGGTCAGCAATGGCGGCTGTATTCTGGCGCGTGTGTAAAGCGTCTATACTGTCGAGACCTGTTATAGCGAAGTCAACGGGAATCGGAAATCACTTCGTTATATCCGGTATTTCGTTATAACCGAATTCGTTATAAGTTTATAACCAGTCCCGACTCCCGACAGTATAGACCTTTGTCCGGAAGTGCTCTTTTTAGCCTCGACCGCAAGGAGCAAAAGCGAACAATAATTGCAATAATCTCGAACCCAGACGCTCACGGGGAGGGGGGGCTGCGTCGGCCTGCGCCGTCGCTTCAGCCGCTTCCCGTTGAGGGCTTCTTCGCTGGTGTGCCGACTGCCGTTTCGCTGGCATCGGTCCTGTTTACCGCGGTATGGGAGTATAGTGCCCGTAATGTGAGAGCCGTGTGTCCATACGCCACTTTGCCGCTGTTGGTTTCCATCTAGCCGAGCCAGAAAACATCTCGCGACGAGTTGACCGCGCCGCGAGTGACGAAGAAGAAGCAAACATGGCGACGGTTTGTGCGATCGCTTTGGTGGCTCCGGTG